ACAATATAAAACACAAAAATAGCACATAATTTAGAAGCTTCCCGGCTTTCATAATCATAAAATTTGTTTGAATAGAAATTAGTTAATCAAATGTTGGTGAAATACCAAGGCAAAAGTTCTGCCAGGGGGATCTCAAAACAGGGCAGGCAATAGGTCAACTTGGCATAACTTATCATTGCTCTGCAAAATTTTATACAACTTGAACTCTAAAATCTCAAGTTCTACCTACCCTTCTGTGTACCTAATTGTGGTTCCTAAGTCACTCATTCATTCAAAAAATACTTCCTGAGCTACTGCTTTTTACTAGGCACTGTTCTTAGTACTGCAGCTACATTTGTGAGCAGGATGCAAAGTCCTTCCTTATGGATTTTACGTTCACTCATTCATTTATTTATTCATTCAACAAGTATTTAATGAATGCGTACAACATTCCAAGCAATATTCTACTTGCAGGAGATAAGGATAGAAACAAAACACACAAAATCTCTGTCCATTGGAGCTGATATTTCAGAAGAGGAAACAGACAGTAAACAAGTAAAACACAAATTAATTAGATTACTATCTAATAAATGCTAGGAAGAAAATAAAGCAGAGAAGGAAGATTTAAAATGAGAGTAGACTTTTAAATAGGAAGGCCAAGGAAGATCAGATAAAATAGAGAAGACAAATAACCATGTAACATATTAGAAGTAAGTGCCATGCAGAGAAACAGTATAGGCAAAAAGGGCATAAGTGGGGGGCAAAGTGAAGCTTATATGAAAAATGTGGTCAGGGAAGACCTTTTTGAAGGGGTACGTTGAGTAGAGATTCTGAATGAAGTAAGAGACCCCGTCACAGGATGACATGGGAGAAGGGCACACCAAGGCATAATAAATTTAAAAGACCCAGGGCAGGAGCAGGCTTGGCAAGGTCAAGGAACAGCCAGAAGCCTGTGTGGCAGGAGTGGAGACAACAGGGCTTCTCTGCAATCCTCCTAACAGCTAGCTGAAGACTGCACAGCGAGACAGGCATTTGGGGAGCCATACACTTAAGAGTCTAGTGACTTGTTTCAATTCAAGTCACTAATTGACTTGAAATCAATTCAACAGATTATTAAAAAGTCATTATTACTTGCAAAATATAAGTGGAAGAGTCAAAGAAAAGAGCAGAATGAAACAGGCTGAGCCACTGAGCAATGCATACTCTCATAGAAAAATAAGGCACACACATGGAAAGTTAACAGCCTTCCAAGGCAGTCAGGAATGTCAAGGTCATTTGATTAGTTTTCAGCATTGCTGCTGAGGAGGGGAAAAAGGCAGAATGAGCAGCAATTACTTATTTAGGATATGTGTAACTCTTCTTTCTTCTTCAGTTTGAAAGCATGATGCTGTAACAGGAAGTGCTACTGGTTTGTGAAGCATCCCTGATCACTCCTGCTGAAGAGGAGCTGTGCTTTACTCATCCTCAATCCCTCCCACAGCTCCAGGCACGTCTGAGGTGCCTGGCAAACGGTGAGTGGAAACTGGGGAAAGCACTCAGGTGCGAATAAATAGGACACTGCTCATCTGAACTACTGCTTCCATGTGATTTGAAAATGAACACCAAGTATTCAAAGAATCCTCACAGAGGAAAGAATTTCTTTTTTTTTTTTTTAAACGGAGTTTCGCTCTTGTTGCCCATGCTGGAGTGCAATGGCGCGATCCCTGCTCACTGCAACATCTGCCTCCTGAGTTCAAGTGATTCTCCTGCCTCAGCCTCCTGAGAGGCTGTGTAATCTCAGTAGCTGAGATTACACACATACGCCACCATGCACAGCTAATTTTGTATTTTTAGTAGAGATAGGGTTTCTCCATGTTGGTCAGTCTGGTCTCAAACTCCCAACCTCAAGTGATCCGCCCACCTCGGCCTCCCAAAGTGCTGGGATTACAGGCATTAACCACCGTGCCCAGACGGAAATATTTTCTGTAAGTGTATCTTCTTGCTCTACTTGTCATTTAGGGTAAACCTTCAATTAGAATAAAAGAGTTCCATCCTTAACGATGGGTTCAAACAGCAGTTGAACCTTCAGGAGCCTGGGTAAACACAAGCCTGGGCTTCTCCCAGCTTAACAAGTGAAAGTCCAGCTGCATTCTGGGCAGGATACTGCATAATCTCGTTTTTAAATGGCACAAGAGGACCCAATTTATGCAGCCAGCAAACATTTTCAGCATACTCACTACACAAGCACCACCCGAACTTGGATCCGAACATAAGGAAGAGATGGTCTCTGTCTTTAAGAGTTAGTCTGATATTTATGAAAGAAGGAAATGAGAAAGAAAGGCAGAAGTAAATATGACTAAAACAATGTAGAAAGTGTTGCACTATGAAAACAAGAAAGAATTATGACAGTATAAGGAAGCGAGTAACTTACAGAAATCCTCATAGAAGAGGTTATGCTGGAAGCACAACTGTGGTTTTGCTTTGCAGTAACCACGATATGGTTTCAAAGCTTGTTCCCTCCAAATCTCACATTGAAATGTGATTCTCAATGCTGGAGGTGGGGTTTGGTGGGAGGTGACTGGATCCTGAGGGCAGATCCCTCATTCATGGTTCAGCACCATCCCCTGGTGATTAGTGAGTTCTCACTCAGTTAGTTCCGGCTGTTTAAGAGTCTGGGACGTCCCCCTTCTCTCTCTTGCTTCCCTCTAGCCATGTGAGAGTGCCTGCTCCCCCTTCCCCTTCCACCATGACTGTAAACTTCCTGAGGCCCTCACCAGAAGCAGATGCCAGCACTATGCTTCTTGTACAGCCTGCCCAACTGTGAGCCAATTAAACTTTTATTCTTTATAAATTACCCAGTCTCAGGTATTTCTTTGTGCCAACACAAACAGTCTAATACAAAACTAAATTATGAAAGGACAGAGACGTTATTGTAACCTATTATTTATTCTCACTATTTACAACTACAGAAAAAAAAAATAGTGTGAAAGACTTTCTTGAGAACAAAGGTTAATTAAAAAAAAAAACTATTTTTTCTGAATGTGTTTAAAAATGAGCATAATTTAAGAACTCATAAGAAATCAGAGTCTCTTCAAAGTTTGTCTAAACAATATATTCCAAAACAATGATTCAAAATAACATTATACTCTTTCAAGCACACTCTCCTGCAATAGGGTATAACTAAATTAATGATTACGATTTAAATCAGTTCTTGTGGCAGGCCCCATAAAGAACCACAGAGCATTCAAAGATAGTGCCCCACTGGGTATTGTGCAACTATTTTGCAAACTAACCTTCAAATTTCAGGTTAAAATCAAATGCTTATCTAAGCAATCATCAGAATACACTGACAATAAATGCATCCAAATCTGAGGAGATCTGGCCCCTTCAGGGTGGGATGGCCTAGACAAATGTATCCAAATCTAAGGAGAAACCGCCTTTAAAAAAAAACGTTAAGAAACAGTAGCCCTTTTTTATACTAACAATTTACAGTAGGAAAGGTCATTTCCATTGAAATTAGATTCATTTTGCAAAGAGATAGAGAACAATAAATATAATCATATTCTGAAAACTTGCATAAAATATATTTATAAAATTTCATTGATATTTTCACTCACCATACCAATCTAAACTTATTTGAAAATAAAAGTATCCTGAGCTTTTTCTTTTTCTTCAGTTTTATCAGAACAAAGAGTAACTTTTTGAAGACTAACACTAATGTAAAATAAGAAGTTTATAATATATTCTTAGTACTTACTGACCTGCAACTTTAAGTAAAGATAGGTTCAGATTCTAGCTACACATATATAGATTTCATCATGCTACTAAATCTCTGTAAATCTCAGCTTTCTGTAAAAACGGGATAATACAAAAATAATTTGAAGACCAGAAGAAATACGTGCCAAATACATAGTAATTACTCTATACACATAGACCATCATCATTAATACCCATGCGTAGAACTGGATATTGAGTGGAGAAAGCAAGGGAGGAATGAGAAAGCCAAATGATCCCCAATTTGAGTAACATCTCTTAGCATTGTAAGTTTCCAGTAGCTGAAATTAGTAAAAATGGTTTCAGTCAGAATTAACCCCTTACAGTGTCCTACAGTTAACAAGCAGATATGAGATGCAAAGTGAGTAAGCAAGACAGGGGCTGTCAACCCATTTTAAAGATCAGTAACTCAAATGTAGAAAAGATAAATCATGCAGTTAATCACTGAGCCACATTTATTAGTGGGCTAGCTCACTGTAGGTAAAAGTTCACACAAATGGATGTGTCATCTTACTCTTTTGTCTTCTGCCTCTATTGGGTAACTGACCTAACAAGGTATGCTCTGCCTCCTCTTTTCTCCCAGGTGCCATTCAGGCCTGGGGCAAACGGCCTACCAGTTCTTGAGCTATGCGGTGAGACAAATGTATTCCCTCTCCTTTATTCTCAAGAACAGATGTTCTGGCCTCTGGAAGACTAGCAGGTGGTAATACAGGGACTTAATGGTTCCGCACAGGCTTTGACAGTATATCACATACTGCAACCCAATTATCAAATCACCTTGAATTGAGAGTAGGAGCATTAGTCTAGAGGTAATGCAATATTTTGATTTCTCATTGCCTTTGTGCCTGTGGAATTTCCTATGAAGAAAGGGTGGCTGAGCAAAGAAGGATGCAATATTCCTGGGTCTCCACACTTACCACCTAATGCTGTCAAAAACACACTTCAACTTCTAAAAGATACAACTAACTCAGACATACATTATCCTAAAAACTGTTCTTAACCAGAAAACAGTACATACTGAATACACTGAAGTAATATCAAGAGGGTTTCAAAAAAAGAAAAAATTTGTACTTATTAACTTAAGGTAATCTTGTTATGCTAGAAACATTTTGGCTTCCGGATCATTTACAATAACTTTATTTTTTAACAGAAAAAAGTTTAAATATGTTACATTAAAATTATTTTTTTAATTTTAAGGTGTTCAGCATGACAAAAAAAATTATCATTATATAAAAAGAAGGTAAAATTCCATTAACATAGTCACATACCAGGCTTCGGGCAGCAAAACAGAATATTCATGTGGAGAAGTGGTCTCTGGAAAGTTGGAGAGAATTGCAAGGCGATGAGGAAGCAGGTCGGAACCATGGTAAGTAAACAGAATTTCTAGGGCTTGTACATTACTTTCCTGTATAAAAGGCAAGGAGTAAGTTTCTGATGTAAACCTAAGAAATAAAGGAGTCACCTGATATGACAACATTCAAAAACTTTTAACTTTTTCATGCAGTTCTGATACGAAGCACTTTGAAATAACCCTGTTTTTTCCTAGCCTGTATCATGTTTCTCAATCTACGGCTATGAAAATTATCTTTAAAACTCAGAACGATGGATATTAAATTAAAATTTTCTCTACATTTATTAATATTACAAAAAAGAAAATGTAATATATGCACACAATAACATTAACTGCACAGCTCAAAGATTTAGTGTTAATAACCATAATTATTTTATTTACAAAAAGCAAATTACCTGAGCATAAGTTCTTGCTGAGAGAACAATATTTTGATTTCTGAATTTCTTAAAGAATTCAGCATCATATCTGTGTTCGGATGCATGAGGTACTCCGAGGATTTCCTAAGGAGAAACAGTGATTTAATGAAAAGGCTTTTAAATATGGGTGACAAGAGACAAAAGAGAATAAGCCACGGAATTCCAAGTGCAGGTCTCCCCACTACAATGTATGACTTAGGGCTCATGTCCGCCATGTTTAATACTGAATCCCAGATTCCTAGCATACCGCTGTCATTATTCTTTTGTCCATATTTATAAATAGCCAATAAATATTTGTTGACTGAATTAATTTACTGAGATAGGAAAGAGAAGAAGGAGGAGATGTGGAGGAGGTGAGGGAGGGAGAGAGGGAAGATGGAGAGTTGAAAAGTTCACTTGTAGATGGGTTAAGCTGGCAACTACAGCATGTCTAAAAGGAGCTCCACAATGAGCAGGTGAATACACAGTCAGGAGTTCTGGACTAACAAGTGAGTTAGAGATATATGGCATAGAGTTACTAATACAGAGATAAGTACTATTCAAAGGGAGATTAAATAGAATGAGTATGAAAGAGCCTTGAGGAATAACATTATTTAAAGGATGAACAAGGAAAAGGGAATCTGTATCTAAAAAGTAGATGGAGGAACAGTCAGAGAAGTAAAGGAAAAAGAATTTAATGCATACTTTTAACCAAAAGTAGAAAATTATTTCACAAATGTTCTAGCCAGGTACTCATGCCTGTAATCCCAACACTTTGGCAGGCTGAAGTGGAAGAATTGCTTGAACCCAAGAGTTTGAGAACAGCTTGGGCAACATGGTAAGAACTCACCTCCTCAAAAAAAAAAAAAAAAAAAATTAGCCAGCCATGGCACCATGTACCTGTAACACCAGCTGCTTGGGAGACTGAGATGAGAGGACAACTTGAGCCCAGAAAGTCAAGAGAACAGTAAGCTATCATTGTGCCAATACACTACAGCCAGAGCAGCAGAGCAAGACCCTGTTTCACAAAAAAAGTTCTCAGTTCCTTGACTCCTCAGGCATGACAATTATTTCCTTTATTTCATCTCAGTTACGCATCCTGTCACCAAACCCTGGACCTAACATCATCAAAAGACACTGTATGAAACATCTCAATGTCTTGCCCCAACTCTGTGACCACCACTCCTAATCTACTCACTCACATACTAAGTGGCATTTCAACTATTCCTCAATCTCACGGAGGCATCCAATCCACTGACCCTACTTGTCTGTTCACTTTCCATTTCCCCTCAAAGTCTCTCACTCCTTCTATCAGCTTAAAGTGCCTGGTCCATGGCTGGAAAAGGGCTTCTTAATCCCTAGCCTCTTTCCCGTTATCACATTCATCCAGCAGATCATCCCCAACCAGTCAAAACTAGCTATGACCCCTGAGCACAAGCTATGAAGTCACTGAAAACATGTTACAAAACCACGCTGACAGTTCCCATTTTAATTTCAAGACCTCAAGCTTGCTTGGATCCTCATTCAAATGAACCAAAGGCAAAACAAAACAAAACCAAAAAAAAGGCATCAGGAAAATCTGAAGATGAAGTTAGTATCAGATCTTATTAGGAAATTACTATTAATTTTGTTATATAATTATATCATTGTGGTTATATTTTTTAAGTCCTTCTTATACATACATACCTAAATATTTATGGGTGAAATGATAAGATATATGGGCTGTGCTTTAAAATATCTAGTGAAAAAGAGAAAGCAAGAGTAGAAAAGTGGAAAACAAAAGACACACAACTGGTGAATGCTGAAAATAGTGCTCAGCAATGGGCACACGGGGCTCATCACAATGGGCACATATACTCTTCTCTACACTTCTACGAATGACTGAAATTTTTTGTAATAAAAAGCTAAAAGATTGATAAACTCAAGACAACAAAATTCAAATAATTAGTCCTATTCCTCAATGCTACCACTAGGAGCTTTTATTTCCTAGTCTCTGTTAAGAACTTTTCCACAACTCTCATTCTTTCCAGACTTCCAACACCCTATTACTCAGCCCTATTTTCGGCTGAAAACCTTGCCTTTTTTTTTTTTTTTTTTTTTGAGACACTCTCAGATGAGAAATCTCTCATTTTTCCAACCCACCAAAACTACAAACCTACCTGCATCTATAATAAGATTTTCTTTCCTTCCAGTTACAGCAGAAAGACACATATCTCTCTGCTCCTAAAAAGCCTCAAAATCCTACCCTTGCTCTGGATCCCATTTCTTCTCCACTTCCATAATCATGAAAGTATCTCCTCTTTCCACTGTTTCATAAATTCTTCCTCACTCCTCTACTAGTCCATTCCCATTAATATAAAAACAATACCTCTTCCTTCTATTCTAGATATCACCATCTTCTCTGCCCCTCTTCACAGTAAAACTTCTTGAAAGATCTGCCCACAGCCATGGTCTCCTCTCTTCTGCTTTTTGTTCTTTCCTAATTCCCAACCTCTGACAAAAATTCAACTATTTACATGGCAGGAGACCTTTCCAAACATGACCACAAACTACTCTAACCACACTTCCCACCTTTATTCTGTGCCACCCCTCACGCTCCCCATCCTGTGTTCATGCTACCCTGACTAGTTTACTTACTGAAGAGAATGACACTTGTCTTCATGCCACTGGGCCTTTCATGGCTCACTGATTATCAGCATGGGCTACTCACAGAGAGACCTGTTACAAGTCCTTGGTTCCTATTTATTTAGACAAATTACTTACCTTCTCTAAGCCTCAGTTTTCATACCCATAAAATTGAGAAGATGATAGTGCCTATCTCACGAGACAATGACTGACAAATAGTTAAGTCCTCAAAAAAAAGTGTTGGCATTTTTTAAGAGTATTCTCTTACCTATTGATTCTTGCAACAAATATTTACTGAACTCTTCAATGAGCCAGGGGTCATTCAGAGCTCAAGACACAGCAGCAATCAAGACACCATTCTAATGTCCTCCTTATCATACTCCCTAGCCCCTGAAATCTGCCTTCCTTTTATGAAAGACTAGCTGAGATATTACTTCCTCTGTGGAGTCTTCTCAGAAATTCCCAGGAATAATTTAACACTTTTCTTCGTTATGTTCCCTCATCAGTTTCCATACCTTTCTCATCAGCATTTAATGCCTATACAATGTGAGCTCCATGAAGACCATTCCCAGTTCATCTCTCCACCTCTAGCAGTATCTTGCATTTAGGAGTCACTCATGTCAAATTTAAATGAATTCATTTATCACAGTATTACTAAAATAAGCCATGTCCTGTGATTAAAATGCAATGCCTATCTCTACTACTAATAGTTAGCTCTTATATCTGAATATTTTCATTACTAAGTTTTAACAGTGAAATTCATCAAATTCACCTACTTTTCAAGAACTTCACTGAATTCCCTAAAAAAAGTAAACTCAACAAATACTTTAAATGTTACTATTACAATATAATAATAAATGTGCTTACTACTGTCATATAGGGAACAGCAATTAAAAAACTAAAAACTAATGAAAAATATTAACTGAATAGTCACACTGAACATTTTAGGTACTTTTTAAAATAATGTATCATTAGAGAAACTAAGGCTAAGAAAAATAATAAACTGTTATCTGTACAGACTTCTGCAATATTGAAATATATTACCTCAACTGGTTTAAATATATTACCTCAAAATATCACAGACCTCAGGTATATCAACATGACATGCTTTAAAGTAATGTGATCATCCAACAGCCAAACTAATTATATCTATAAATAAAACTATTAAGAATATTTTGTAACTTGTTTGCAATGATAAATGGTAATGATACAGTCATTACCTATTTTTTTTTTTTTTTTTTTTGAGATGGAGTCTCCTCTGTCACCCAGGGTGGAGTGCAGTAGCATGATCTCAACTCACTGCAACCTCCACCTCCCAGGTCCAAGCGATTCTCTGCCTCAGCCTCCCAATTAGCTGGGATTACAGGTGCCTGCCACCATGCCCAGATACTTTTTGTATTTTTAGTAGAGACGGGGTTTCACCATCTTGACCAGGCTGGTCTTGAACTCCTGACCTCGTGATCTGCCTGTCTCAGCCTCCCAAAAACCAATGTTTTTTAATAACCACAGTCCTCTTTCAGTATTTTGTTTGAAAACATTGCAATTATATTAGTAGGGTGGGGGAATCAAAGTTTTTGGATTTGCCTGCATGGTCAAAAGTTCTTGGGATGAGCATCACATTATTACATGTGACACAGAGTGCCTACTGTGTGCCAGCGCCAAGAGCCGAGAGGCATACACGCAAAAGGGAGGCAGAACACACACTAAGAAAGTAACCTCCAAGGGAAGGTGAACTTTAACAATGAAAAACTTATCTTCAAATCTGGAGAACGTCAGCTACAAGAGTCATGTGAAAAAGCAATCGAACCTATGTATATTTACTAAAAGGTGGTTCACTTACATTTATACTTTTAACAATATCTAAAAAACCTACAGAGTGCTACTGAAATGCCCATCCTGGGCACATCTATATTTGTGTCCCTGAAGACCCAAATATAAAGTATACTGTTTTTAAGCTCAAATATCTAACTTCAGCCCTAATTCAGATCAAAGGTCAATCAAATAAATCAACCCACTAACAAATAATTAAAATAGGCAGGGCGTAGTGGCACACACTGTAATCTTAGCACTTTGGGAGGTCAAGGCAGGTGGACTGCATGAGTCCAGGAGTTTAAGACCAGACTAGGCAACATGGCAAAACCCTGTCTCTACAAAAATACAAAAATTAGCCGGAAGTGGTGGCACGTGCCTGTAGTTCCAGCTACTCAGGAGGCTAAGGGACAAGAATTGCTTGAACCCCAGAGGTGGAGATTGCAGTGAGCTGAGATTGCACCACTGCACTCCAGCCTGGGCAACAGAGTGAGATTCTATCTCAAAAAAAAAAACATTAAAATAAAATGTGTAAGAAATATTCACTTTAGGATTATTAAAACCTAGTGTACACTGAAATCTGGTATGGAAAAGAGTTACGTGCCATTATCTTAAAATCAAAATATAAAAGTAAATGAAAAAGATAATAAATCTAGAAAACACAAATGCACTGAAATGGCTAAGGCACTTCTATTCCCTAGTCTAACAAAACAACTTCTGGCTTTCACAATCTCCAGTTTTTACCAAAACTAGTACATAAGAGAACATGTTTGTGTAAGAAACTAATTTTTCCCGGAAAAATAGTTCTAAGGACCAAGAATATCAGACATTAGGGCAGCCATAGCATTTACAATGACAGATCAAATGAACATAATTGGTTTGATTAAAACTATCCCTTACCTCATATGTTGCAAGTCGATCTAAGTAGGTTAATAATTTCCGTCTACAACGACAAAGTTCCTTTTGTTCCAGTGTCAACCTGTTTTGAATAACTATATTAGGCCACTTATATTTACACAGAATTATTTCTTTAGGAGTTATAGTGAAAATGCTTACTATTCCATTGAGTCCAAAACTCATGAAACAGTTCAGAAAAGTACAAGGGTAAGAAAATAGTAAGCGCATTTGATTTAAGTTGCTAAAATAATTTCGACTAATTACTACTAATAAGGAACACACTGAAATGACTATTTTAAAGAAACTATCGAACAAACACTAACAAATCATTTACTTTGAAAAGTTCACTAATTTAAGTAGTTCTTGTCTCTTCTTGAATTCCTTTTCCTTTTTATTCTTGGCAGGCTCTTCAACGGGTGGTGAAAGCTCTTCATAGGGGATACTGTCAATGTCTGTTTCACCAGGTAATGTAAATCTGCAGGTTTAAAAAAAACAAACATATTTTCATCATTTTTATATTTTTTATTTATTTATTTTTTTCTTTCTTTTTTAAAAATGTCATGTTGTGAAAAGCTTTCTCCTATTTTAACTAATTATTGATTTCCACAAAAACAGAAATATTTGAAAAAACTTTTGCCATTGTAAACAAAGGGATCATTCATTATATCCACAGATGGGCAAAAGTCATCAGTAATTATCACAAATAGAAATTTAAAAATCAGGAAAATGAAAACTAGGAAGATATGTGGGGTTACATTCACTCCACGTAAAGCAGCCTATGCAGAAAATGTCCACAGAGTCTGCCATTTGAATCACTTCTACTTACGGTCTTAAAATGGTAAGAAATGTCAGTCTCATTTTAATTATTTACTTCTCAGAAATACTCTCAAATTTATATTTTTTGAAAAGTTCCAAATGCCTGATGAGCAGTGACTTCAGATAAGAGGCAACTGCTTCAGTACAGAATAACTAGAATAAAGAAAAGTTTACCCAGTCCAATGTCTTAGTACAAAAGTTTTCACAAAGTCACCTTTACTTTGAGACCACATTTTTCTATAACCAACCTGCCATCATCTGCCCCCTTCCCTACTGCTAACAGAGCCTCCAGGTCTGTGCCTTTTAATCCATACTGAAGCAGTTCTTTCACAGCATCCAGATTTTCAGGAACTCTTTCCAAACACTCGTGGAGAACCCAGGATCGCTTCTTTATTTTACTCTGGATATAATAGAAGAAACAGAGGAATTAAAGAATCCATGACATCTTACAACACATTATAACTGCCTTCAGAATCATAAAGCTATACCTGATATATTACAGTTATTTAGGACCTTGGCCACAGGGAGTTGCTAGAGGAACTCAACAGAAAAGCAGCCAATTCCCTAATGGTGATTACAACTGCATGCACTCAGTGTGAGTTTACCTGCTTGTTTTCTTCCTCTAATGAGCTACACAGAAGCAAAAAGCTCAGGACTCTCTTCTGACTTTTATGATTGCCTTTGGTTTATATTGTGGCTGTATAATAGAGTAGACAACAAGGTAGAAAAGCAAGATATATCCTGTCATAATTAATAAGTATGGTTAACTTTTAAACAAAACTCATGAAGCATCAAAGTTCTGTATTTACTTGACTATGAGATGTATCTCAGGGTGTGAATGATAACTTAATCATAAAAGTCAGGATACGCTGTTTTTTGAAAGGATCAAAGTCCTTTCCCTCCCTCCCAGCTGCTTCCTCCAACTCCATTCAAAATCCCTGACTTGCCCTCTCCGTACAAGGAGCTATTATGGTTACAAATTTAAATTAAGATTTGATTCATATCCTAGGACTCTTTATATATTGCATCACATCAGTTCTTTCTTCAAGTGTCTCTTAATTCACTTTCCCTTTTCCATAGCTGCAGACTCCATAGCAGTCAAAATCATCAACATAAAAATCTAGGACACTGTAGGAGTCTCTTGCCCTGAGCAGGTTCTCCTACATTCCTTCCACTCCAATCCTCTTCTACACCATCTTCCTCTATGGCCCCACAGTCAAAAATCCACAACAGCAGATAAACGCCTAAGTCATCACAAGCTTTCCACACCCTCCTGAACCCAATCAATATATCTTTTTTCTCATATTTCCCAATGTTCACTATTGTCAAATATCAGTGCTAGCAAACTGGTTGACATACAGAGCTCATTTATCCACAAAATGCTTACTGGGCGCCTACTGCATACCAGGCACTGAACTAAGCATGGAAATACAGCAATGAATAAAACAGATTTAGTCACTGGCCTCATATATCATGCTCAACGTCTTTTAATTTGTTCATACCATTTGTCCTATTAAGAATGTCTTCCTCCCTTCTCACTCAACGTCTACTTTAAATCTTTTCAAATCCCTGCTCCAAAACTCTTCACTATATAAAGCATTCCATCACTACCAGATCTATAATAATCACTACCTTCACAGGGTTCCTAGAGTTTTATCTGAAATCTACTTATATGGTCAGTTATATTTAACACGGTAAAACTCCGTCTCTACTAAAAATACAAAAATTAGCTGGGTGTGGTGTCGCATGCCTGTAGTCCCAGCTACTCGGGAGGCTGAGGTGGGAGAAGCATTTGAACCAGGGAGGCAGAGGTTGCAGTGAGCCGAGATCGCACCATTGAACTCCGGCCTGGGCAAAAAGAGTGAAACTCCATCTCAAAAAAAAAAAGCAGAAGCTCCCTATCAGCAAAAGCCACATTTATGCCTCTCCTGTACCCCTTCACAGTCCCTCGCACAGTGCTCTTGCTCTTAACTGCCTATTTAACCTAAATACTGCCCTCCCCAAAAAAGTACCTGCTTTGTCTCTCCTAACACCCCTCAACTCTTTCAGAGACAAAGACTGTCCTTTACTGTATCCCAGAAAAAGGTATACATGAACTCATGAGTTCATTGTCTTAGATCATAAAACAAGAAACAAAAATAATACAGGATCAGTGTTTTGATTTGTCTTCTCCCTTCATCTCATTACCTCTCATGCTGTTTCACCTCTGATACTTACTTGTATTGACGTTAAGTTTATCATCCTGCTTGGCTGATTAATCATCTTCTTCCATGCAACTTTTTCATGTTATATTCTTACTTTTAATTACTAATGTACAAAACTTTTAGGGAAGTAATTATCATGAAATTTTCCCAGTGTTCCCTACAGTCTTCCACAATGCAAAGGTATTTTCCTTTCTACATGCAAGATCAGAAGTCCCAACCTTTTTAAAGTATGCCATGAGTCCAACTTTCTCACAAAGATGCCAAACGTTAAAATATATAGCCTGCTATGAAATCAATGTGTCCCCTAAAATTCATATGTTGAAAACGAATCGCAAGAGTGATGATGTTTGAAAATGAGATCTTTAGAAAGCAATAGTCAAGAGAGTGGAGCCCCCATGACAGGACTGGTGTCCTCTAAGAAGAGGCAGGAGAGAGCCTGCATCCTCTCTCTCTGCTCTCTGCCATATAAGAACACAGCAAGAAAGAAATCCATCTGCAACCCAGAGAGTCCTCACCAGGAATGAAACTGGCCAACACCTTGATTTTACACTTCCCAGCCTCCAGAACTGTGAGAAATAAATTTCTGCTGTTGAAACCACAGTCTGATATTTTTGTTGCAGCAGCTAAATCTAATTGAGACAAGGCTGTATATCAACCTTAACTATGGGAGGCAGGTAACAGGAAGTATCCAATTTTGAAATCTAAGTTTTAAAAAGGTATGTTTGGCAATTTTCATATATGTTATCTATTTGTTGCCTCTCAGCTCCAAATTTCCCCTCAAAGCCAGCTCTGTGATAGCATTTCTCATTTGCAGTTAACACGACACTAAGCTCTGGGCGCTGGAGAGGCACTGCAAAGAGGCTCTGGTTTCCAGTCCTGATGTGCTGTGGTTCTTTTCTTCTTGCTCCTATGGCTTAGCCACCAACAAGGCACGTGGAGGACATCAAGTGGCACTTATTTCCCCCCTTCCTCTCACTGTGGACAACCTCCCACTGAGTTTCAGTGGTACTCTCGTGGGCAGATTCTTTACTAATGAATCTCCCAGGCACCTGACAGGGAAGCTTCCCAGACTGGAAGCTACAGTAAGGACGCCTATAGGAGTAGAGAGTTTTTTCTTGCCAGTCTTGGCCATGATTCCTTAATTATTTACCAACCTTGAGTCCCATGCATGCTGGCAGAGGTTTCCTGCTTGCTAGTCCCTGGGGTTTTCTGACCCCCAACCTCAACTCACTGGCCCCCCAGCAGCAGGCATCCAGCTTTCCTATCCATCCCAGATATCCCTGACTACCAACCTTGGCAACAGTGGACCAGCCCTGGCTCAACGCAACCTAGAGAACTTCTCTTCCATCCTATATGCTGCAACCACTGCTTGTTCGATGGGTCTGAATCCCAGCCTAGGAGGGGGGCCTCCCTTCCAAGTTCATTCCCTCCATGGATATGTCCCTTCAGCGAGGGTATTTCTTAGAGTTCTCTTTACATCCTTTATAGTTCATCTCTGGTTACAGAAAATAATTCTCCATATTGAAAGTTTCCCTGTTTAAATGACTGTGTGGTTTCTGGCACGTGACTAGCTCCCGACTAATGCAGGTAAAGAGAAGTGACTTTGGTACAGGAAAGAGAAGGTCAGGCCTAGACCAAGTAGTCGGCTGGTTTATCAGTGAATATTTGTCCCATGTCTTCAGCATCAAAGTCCAGTTGCAGGGGCAATAAAATCTAACAAAAAGACCATTTTTCCAGTTGAGAAAAATGTACTTCATCAGTTGTATCATAGAAAAGTCAGCAACATAAAGTACTCTAAAATGAAGCCCTTTAAACGAAAGATACTACATGAATAAACATTTTTACCACATTACCAAAATATTTACACATACCAAATAATTCTGAATTGAAGCAATGTTGACCGCTGACTTCCTCCACTGCCTCTGATATACTAGGTCAGTATCCAGGCCGTAGGTATGAGCCAAGGCCAAGGCTTCCTCGTACTCCTCACTTTCAATCTTCAGATACAAACATGAAGACAGGAATGTTACATTACTGAATTATCCACAGGATCCCAATGAAGATACAATGCATGATGATAATTCCTTGGACCTATCCAGCATGTTATTAATTCCTGTGCACTGTGGCACCAGAAGCTCACAGACATTTTGAGGAGTAGAAAGATCACGTTTCTTTCAGCACTTTAACAGAAAGATGAGAGACAAAAAGGTGCCAAGCTCTGGTTTCAGAATAAAATAATGGCAAAACCAAGACAACCATGGAACAACTCGACTTCTAGTCCAGAGCTCCTTCCATGACATCGCAAGAACAGCACAACGTAAACACACAGTCTTGGTCACCTTGACCCAAGCAAGCCCCTGACTAGAAAGCAAGACTGCATTTCTTCCTTCACCCTCTGTAGACACTGATTTAAACACAGATAAAGGGAGAGCTGAAGGCCACGTGAAGGGTAGCAAAGAAACCTGATTAGCCACAAAGTGGATAATCAGTTTAAGTGAATTCAACTTTTATCCAAGGTTTGGATTTTGATTACTTGGGTACAAAGATTAGCATTATTTTAAAAAGCTTTGTAAGACTGGTATTTTTAAAATATCAATGATCCAACATCCCTCTTGAAATTTTCTCCTTTATTAAAAAATTAGCTTTTTCTCAATAAAAGAAAAGCTTGATGGCTTCAAACTTGGATAGCAATACGCTCCTCTCTCACCTTCCTCTGATAAAGCTCCTCCGGTGTGGTGGAGCGCAAACTCACAAGGCGGTAGTTTTTAGTAATGGTTCGTGGGCGTTTCCGTGGTGGTGCAAAGCGTTCCATTTCAGTGACTAAGTAAAGGCCCTGTTTTATGTAATCAAAGTAGCGAGCCTTGGCAGATATTTCGTGATCAGAATCAGAATCCTCTTCTCCTTCATCTTCTTCTCCAGCCCTAGTCTCCAAACGAGATCGTTTGGGGGCAAGTTTAATCTCACACTAAATTGAAAAAGGAGATTTGAAATTAATAGTAAGGAACTAAAAACCACTTTTTAGAATTAATGAAAGAAAAAATATTTCTAAATCTACTCTGGGTTTGAGTCATTAAATCACCTATGTGATCAAGCTTAACAATGGAACTCAAAGGAAACTTACAGCAAGCATTATATACATCGGTTCCAGAAATACGCACAATATGTTATCAGCTCCAGATATCCTATATTAAGCCTATTTTTTTTTTCTTTAAGATGGAGTCTCTCTCTGTTGCCCAGGCTGAAGTGTAGTGGCACAATCTCAGCTCACTACAACCTTTGCTTCCTGGATTCAAATGATTCTCCTGCCTCATCCTCCGGAGTAGCTGGGATTGCAGGAAGGCACCACCACACTCAGCCAATTTTTGTACTTTTAGTAGAGGCAGAGTTTCACCATGTTGGCCAGGCTGGTCACAAACTCCTGACCTCAAGTGATCCACCTGCCTCAGCCTCCCTAAGTGTGGGGATTACGGATGTGAGCCACTGCACCCAGCCTAAAGCCTGTTTTAATAACAGGTCATTATGTACCTGATACTAATCTTAGCGCAATAAAGAAGTTGACAATGTTCATTTCTTTTACTTCTGGTGTTTCTGTACTTGCTGTGAAAAACTCAGATGATTTTTTCTTTGGTCTCTTTAGAGAATCAACATAAAGGTACTTATATTTGCTTTACCAAGAATAGCTCCTCGCCCCCTTATAAAAATGTCTAACAGCTTCGCTAAGTTCTGAGTCTGAAAGCCTGGCAGTTGATAACTTTCATTCCAGACTTAGCAGAGCTGGCTTAGATTTTAAGCCATAATTTTCTTTAAGGCACATCTTTAGACTCAGTAACAAACTTCAGAGTAAAAAATGTGTCAATCTGCATTGCTGAAGTAGAAGCTATTAAAGGTTCTTACCCCTGAAAGACTTAAAATAAAATTTTTAAATGAGCAAAAGGTAACTTTAAAGAACTAGCCTCTATTTTCAAGTCTTCTGTCATGACAAACAAGTTTTCCTTACTAAAATAATCAAAAATTTTAAGTTGCCATGCTTTTGGAAATGGGTTAAAGAGCAATTTTCTTAGGCAGTGATACCATTCTACATTTTAAAATGGCTAATCCACAGCAGGGGTGGGGGAATCTATCATTTCAGTGAGGAAGAAATACTTAATAAAGAGCAAAATAACTACAAATTTTCTTCATTCTCTTAAATTGCAAATTTTTTTTCACTAAAAAAATGGATTTAATACTGCAACCATTACCTGATTCCAATCATGGATTTTTGTTTTTAAAGACAAGATAATGAGACAGCTAAAATAAAAATCAGATATTGAAGTTTTGGTTAAACAGATGACTGTTCTCACACAAAGGGGAAAAAGCCTTACCTCCAAACTTAAAAATCCCCCATCATGGGTAGCAGTGACTTGAGGTGATGGTTCAAACCACTCACAGGATTTCCCCAGTAAATTCTTCAAAGTTTTCACTGATGAAACAGTTAAAGCACCAGAACATCGAGCTAAAGTCACTGCACTGTCTGCCCACCAATTGACGTCTATCAGTGGGTAAAAGGACTCTTTATCTAAGAAGGGAAAAATAAATCAACACAAATGCATCTGTTAATGTGGTTTAAATTCAATTTTAAAACCAAATTTACCTACATTATTTGGGCCCTAAAAGTATGTTAAATAATAAGAAAAAAAAAATAAGAAAAAATAAAACGTAAGTCATTCTCAAAATTTTACTCTATGAGGTATAAAATGGTAATTCACTTAATGAACACCTGAGTGCCAACAATTTGTCAGTCTAGGTCTAAAGCTCTAAGGATAAAACAGCAAATAAACTAAGATCTTTCATCTCAAGAATATACTCAGGAGAGAGATGTGTCACTACTTTCAACATAAGGTGAAAGGCAGGTGGGTGCCAGGTGTGCATATATGAAGGTCATGTCATGTTTTTAAAAAATGTACATATATCACTTTCAGACACGGAGAGAAATATACCCTTTAGAAAAATATAAGCTATGTAATAATTTCTGTGCTGATTTCCTCTTAAACTTGTAACTAATCAGAGAGGAAAAAACATTCATGGCTAGTAAAGAATCTTTAGAGATGAAAATGAATTATGGACCAGGTGTGGTGGCTCAGGCCTGTAATCCCAGCACTTTGGGAGGCCGAGGCGGGTGGATCACAAGGTCAGGAGTTCAAGATCAGCCTGACAAACATGGTGAAGCCCCATCTCTACTAAAAAATACAAAAATTAGCCAGGTGTGGTGGTGCATGCCTGTAGTTCCAGCTACTAGGGAGGCTGAGGCAGGAGAATCACTTGAACCTAAGAGGTGGAGGTTGCAGTGAGCCCAGATTGTGCCACTGCATTCCACCCTGGGTGACAGAGCGAGACTCCATCAAAAAAAAAAAAAAAGAAAGAAAGAAAAGAAATTATGGTTCACCAAACTAAGGTATTCAAAAGGCAATGCCATATGTATTACAATTTAACTGTACATTTTTTGAGTATCACCTGTTGTACAAAACATATGATATGGCTTAAAAGTAAAAGGAAACCATAAATTTAAAAACATATTTAAACATTAGACTAAGAAGAGAGAGATTTTTAAATATGGAGTTCAGCACCATGAGACTAATTTATCATTTTAACGAAAATCAAAAGCGTAACAACACTTTTTTCCCATGTAAGCCTAAGGCAATCCATGTAAATAAGGAATTTCAAGAAAATGTGAAAACCAGAGTTCCTGGAGCTTATTACTAAGTGTAAAGTAGGAAGAAAGAGGAGCAAATCACTAAAATCAATTCTAACTTCTGCTTTGACAAAGTATTACTTTTCCTCAAAAAATATGTCTGGATGAAGATTTTGGACGATTATTTAAAGCAGTAGATAATTCAAAGCATGGAGCCTGATGCATAATATTAATCAATATTTTTAATCTTCTTTAAATGTGAACTAAAAGTAGATATAGATATAGATATAGATATAGATATAGATATAGATGATATAGATAGATAGAAAGAGTTATATACTTTTTTTTTTTTAGAGGAAGTCTCACTCTGTTGCCCAGGCTGGAGTGCAGCACAGCTCACTGCAACCTGCACTTCCTGGGTTCAAGCAATTCTCCTGCCTCAGCCTCCTGAGTAGCTGGGATTATAGGTGTGTGCCACCATACCTGGCTAATTTTTGTATTTTTAGTAGAGACGGGGTTTCACCAGGTTGGCCAGGCTGGTCTTTAACTCCTGACCTCAAGTGATCCACCAGCCTCAGCCTCCCAAAGTGCTGGGATTACAATACAGGCATGAGCCACCGTGCCCAGCCTAAAAGCATATTGTAATACAGAGTCTGAACCTTGTAACTATCACTGATTTTACAGAAGATACTAAAAATTTCATGGATTTAACTTCGAGAATTTCACCTAAAGAAAAATAACACATAGTCAAAAACTGAAAGTAAAAAAAACTCAAAGTAATCCCTACAGGATTTTAAAATATCTCTATTTTAATCTAGCAATCAAATAACAATTATTACCTTTATTTAAATGTAAATCTTGATTTTCTTCTATTCATAAAAGCAATATATGCTTATTGTAAAAAAGATAATTTTTTTTTTGTAAACGTGGAAATGTATGCAAAGACAAAGAAAGTCCCATCAACCTAACCCTAACTACCTCCCACCTGCAGAGATAACTTTACTCAGTGTTTCTTCTTTGATTAATCTTTTCTGCAATCTCACCCAAGGGCATCTGAAAAGGAGCATGCTTCTAAGCGTTGAATCCAGTGCACCATCTCAATGCTGGCTCCTGGCAGGAGAGCCATCCTGCATACCCTAGGCTCTGACTTAGCTTTTCGGAAAGCCTGACCATCAGAAAACTGGATCTGTTGCCTTGACCCAACTCTATAAAATCTGGATGCTTCTTCCAAAGTGCAGCGTGCAGCAAAAGTAAGTAGAGACGTTTTACATCATCCAAAGAACATCTTGTATCATAGTGGGAGTCTCTTAAGGTTTCAATTATCACATTTCATACAACTCACCTTTGATTTTTTTTCTCTTCTCAGTCGAGAGCGTCCAATCAGGATTAAGGTCATCATAGCCTGGCTAAATATGAAAATAATGGCTTCCTGAGTCAACTATGTAAGAAAATTATATGAAAATCAAGAACTGTGGACTTTTTCAAATAAAAAGACGATCCTTTCCCTTGATCTCTCAGTTACAACTGAAATCTATTCCTTGCCATGACAGTCTGGAAAAGCAACGGTTCTTACACTTAAAATGTGCACATGTACATATTAAGACTTCATTTGTGAAGAACATGGCATGCATATGAACAATAGGATAGGAAGTATACGATTAATACATATAAAACCAAAATACACTAAAAATTCACTCTATACTCATGCACACATTATGAAGATACACTGGCCTGAATACAGGTCTTATTGCTGCCACTGGTAAACTAAGCAGCCCCTCCAGGATTTGGTTTTCAAAACTTTGAGACTTGCCTAGGCAACCTCCATGTTACCTCCTAGTCCTTTTTATGACTAAGAATTTACCAGGTAAAAAAATATAACCATGCAGTCCTAAAAATGAATCCATTCATATTGTAATCTTATGGCAACAAGGTGTCACGCTCATCTTTGAGAATATAGCAGCACATCGACATCTCTCAAACATCAATTTGAGAATAAGCAATTAACCGACATCCTCTTGGCTTACTGTTCCTTTCTTATTCTCCAGAATTAAAACAGTATGGAAGAAGAGTAAAAATAATCGTTGGCGTGCTTATTTGAAATCTGATATCTAAGAAAAGTGTAGCTGTATTTAAGTCAAAAAGTGTGCTTTTTCATCTAATAATAAACATTCACATGCATGTTTATTATCAATTTTTCAATGGCTCACACTTCAGAGTATACAAATAGGTATTTCTTTCCACAGCCTTGAAGAACTTCCTGCTCTCCACTATCATGGTAAATCACTCAGAGCAGACCCTGAGACCAGAAGACACAGTCTTTAAACTTTATGAGAAAAAAAATTACCATAAAAGGCTAATTATACACCAAGGGAAGAAATGGAGATCCTGGTTTACTTAATCATAAGAAAAGATGACTAAGTTTCAAAATAATACTTTAAAAAATAAGGTACTTATCATTGAAAACAATCAACTAAACTGCAACTTTATTTGGTCATTTTAAGGCACTTAATGATTTTTCAGTGCCTCCAAATCACCAGTACTACATACTCCGACCACATGCATGCCACCATTTTCTTACGTGGCACATGTAATTTCCTATTACATTTTGGAGTACACAAGGGAAGTATGGAATAAAAAACCTTAGGCCACTCAAAGAACAACAGTTATGATTCAGGCTTGGGAACATTTACAGACGTACAGATGAAAATGAAATTTGACAAGAAATCTCATGGAAATTTCAAAAATAAATAATTCTCACTTGAGAATTCCAAGTGTGCATGTCTTCGTCAAAGCTAACGATAAAAAGGAGCACCATGAACAAGCAGTACTCGTCCACTAGAACCACAGTCACCTTGGGACTAGACTGCTCTCTGCACGTTGCTTAAATAATGGGCATCTCCTGTCAATCCGATGTTAAACACAAGGTGAAGATGTGTTCTTCTGCATCTAGAACTCTGTCATACTCATCCTTCTATTGCCAGATCCATCACACTGCCTACCTGTCACAGCAGCTAAATGTCGAATGAGTAAAAATGAATCAATCAATCTTTTAAGTAACTGAATTCTAATTAGAATATCTAAACTATAGGAAAATTATCCGATATAGTACTAGGCTTCCTACACCCTCCCAAAAGTGTGATTTCTTCTATTTAGTCAAAACATATTGGGGCCAGGCATGGTGGTTCACGTTTGTAATCCCAGCACTTTGGGAGGCCAAGGCTGGATTGCTGCTTGAGACCAGGAGTTTGAGACTAGCTGGGTGACAGAGCAAGACCTCACTATCTGGGTGACATAGCAAGACCTCTCCCCCCAAAATAAAAATAATTAGTGAGTCATGTTGGCACACTTCTGTAGCCCCAGCCACTCGAGAGGCTGAGGTAGGAGGACCAACAGAGCTCAAGAGTTCAAGGTTGCCGTAAACTCTGATCACACCACTACACTCCAGCCTGGGCAACAAAGCAAGACCCTATGTCTAAAAAAATAAAAATAAATACATGCTGAGTCAAAAGGAAAAAATAAAAACAGATGTTGCAGGCTCAAAACTGAAGCACACAGAGAGCTAATAAATGAATATAAATTAATATAATCCAAGATCACATTTGTTAACGACCCAAAGAGAGGTATAGATAAAAATGCCAGGGGTCTTTAAAGTATGAAAACAGAATTTGGGGCATGTGTTTAAGAATGATGAAGGGAATTCAAGAGGTACAAAGAAAGTCTTATGGTGCTATACTTTTAAGATGGGATAAGATTTGGATGTAGAAAATGAATAGAGAAAAACATTCCAGTCTGAAAGCATAGTGTGAACAAAAATACAGAGTTAGGAAAATACAAAGTTTATTCAGAAGAAAAAACTAGAACAGTTTAGCAAGTCCAGGACAGCAGATTTTAATTATCTTGATTTTTGTTTGTTTGGGGATTTTTAGGGGGGTATGTTAATGATATCCTTTTTTATCGAGGTGAACTTCACATAATGTAAAATTAGCCATTCTTACATGAACAATTTAGTGGCACTCAGTACACTCACCACGTGTGCAACCATCGCTTCTACCCACTTCTAAAACATTTCTATCGCTCCAAAGCAAAACCACACACCCATTATGCAGTTACTCCCCTTTCCCCTTCCCCTGGACCCCAGGAACCACCAAGCTGCTTTCTATCTCTATGGATTTACCTATTCTGGATATTTCACATAAATGTAACCATAAAATATGTGACCTTTTGTGTCTAGCATCTTTCAATAATATATAACATTCTCAAGGTCCTTCCACCATTGTAGCGCTTATCAATACTTTGTTCCTTTTAGTGGCTGAATAATATTCTATTGTACGGATATACCACAGTTTGTTTCTCCACATATCTGTTAATGGGCATCTGCATTGTTTCCACCTTTCGGCTGTTGTAGACTGTACTGCTATAAATATGTAGGTGCATGTATTTGAGTATCTGTCTCAAATTCTTTTGGGTATATAACTACCTATGTGTATTCCTTAAAAGTACATAGGAGATCCATGCTAGACATCTGAACTACATTTTTAACTTCACAATACTTGGGAGTTTGATGAAATTATCTGTAGAGTATATTTAAGAAAAAAGCCCAAGTAAAATTCTAAACTTCACCCTGCTTCAGACAGAGATGGCCTGCCAGACCAGCGACCTGACAGTTGTTCTTCCCTGATTTCTAAGGTGACATTCTCACTGTTCCTCTCATAGCACTGAAGCTAGACTCAACTTACCATCCTTCCACCCCAGGGCCTCTATGTGTGAGAAGAAGCAGGAGGGGGCCATGCGTCACCACATCTGATACATACTCTATAAACTGGTGCTCTGTGGACAGGATCACCAAACTCCCCACAACTCACAAGAAAGCTCCTGGTACCATGTGAATACATTTCAGGAAGCAACCTCCATGCCACTTCTCTGTATTTGCTGGGGCTCAGAACACAATACTCCATAGTATAACAGCATGGCATGTTGAGTACTTCCAGCTCAGGCAACTGAAAGGGCCTCAGAAACATGGTCTCTCTGACCTTCTCCTGCCTTCCTGTCTCAAGCCCCTCCTTGTCTCCCAAAGCAAGTCATAGAAACCAGAATTATTCTTCCCCGAGGTGCATCACGGAAACTAGAACCCCTCCCTCAAAGGAAGCCATCAAACCTAAAAAGGTCACTCTCTCCCTTCTCCCTTGAAGACCCTTATTCCAGAGGGCTCCTGCCTCATAGTCAGGGAGAAATGTCATACAGAGAAGCCAAAAAGAATCTGGACAGACAGGCTGGCTGGATTTCCCCTTCAGTCTATCATCATCAGGCCATGCCCTTTTGTCCCATCACAATTCTACAAGTCTGTCCATTCTTCATCAAACCCAAGCATAAAAGCAGACAGTTTTCTCTGGGTCTTTATTTCTTTAATTTAGACAGGTTTCTCTCTGTCACCCAGGTTGGAGTGCAGTGGCATGGTCAAAGCTCACTACAACCTCGACCTCCTAGGCTGAAGTGATCTCACCTCTGCCTTCGGAGGAGCTGGAAATACAGTCGCATGCCACTTTTTACCTTTTGTAGAGACAAAGTCTCACCATGTTGCCCAGGCTGATCCCCAACTCCTGGGCTCAAGCAATCCACCCGCCTAGGCTTCCCAAAGTGCTGGGATTACTGGCATGAGCCACCACGCCCAACCAGAGTCTTCATTTCTGAAATTTCTCGTGTCATGTAAAATGCCTATTAAATAAATGTCATGCTTCTCTTGTTAACCTTCTTTTGTTACAGGAGTGTTGGCTGTGTCCTCTTATGATGGGTTAGGAGAGGTATCACACCTTTCCACCCCAGCAGTTTCTGGCATCCAACGTGGTGAGACATCTGACTTGCTCTGGAACCTACGGACAAAATCCTGTAACAACTGAAAAATGATGAGCAAAGGAAGGTAAGAACTTTTTTGTTTTTTTGTTTTTTAAACAAAATCAGCTTTCTTGGATCTCTGCCTATAGTGGCTGGTCAAGAACAGAAGGTAAAAATTCCTCTTTATATCTTCCTTTCCAAATGCAAGTTAGCAAGGAAAGTCACTTGTTTTTAAATAAATTTGTTAGGGTTTTATCTTGATAACCCGTCTTTTGTTATAAGACTGTCAGCTGCAATCCTTATGATGAGTTCAGTAAGGTATCACACCTCTCCACCCAGCATTTTCTTGCTACCATATTACTGAAAACAGCCTAATATGCCATCACTTTATACTGCGGCCATAACCCAAAGGAGTACGTTCTAAAAATAGTTATAAGTTTTGCACAGAAAACTTGTTATGGCTATAGCAATGTTTTCTTTAGATTTGAGAATTTTTTTTTTACCACTAGAATCTAAATATAATGAAATCCCTACCTCCAACAATATAAAAGCAATCTTTCAAAGGCTTATTCATTCCACAAATATTTATTATTATTTATTGTGTTAAGCCTATGAGAGTCTGTAGATGAAATATATATTCAATGCCTATTCTCAAAGAACTCACAGTCTGGTAGAACTGTGAAAACAGCTGTGGATTTTATGAAGATTAATCACATAAACTGCCAACTTCCCACTTACTCTTCATTCATCTACTTTAGTCCAACACCTACTATGTGTGAAAGAGAAAATAAAATGAAAATGAAAACAGAAGTTTGTATTCCATTTCTAGACCTAAAGAAGTACAAATAGGCAAATACTAAAACTTCTTGAGAGAAAAATTAAGGCTGAAAATAAGATATAAAGATATAAAAGTAACATATGGGAAATGTTTGAAATGAAAATCACTTAAGCAATTTTACTATATTCCAGACATGAAGAAAATTTAATACTCACAGATTTCTAGCCAGATGGATTTTCATATTGACAATGAAAGCCAAAGTATTTAATCAACTCAAAACTGGATATTAGTAAATCGGAACAGGCACTTCCACAACTATCTTTAATCATTAGCTTTTACAGAGAAAATACTCAATCACACAAAGCATATTATAAAAACAAATAAAGCAGCAGATTGCATGAAGAAAGCCCCAAATGAGTTGAATTCACAGTTTTGGTAAAGAGGTTTAAGGCTGTGCTGGGTAGCAGCAACATTAGTTTCTTCTCAGGCAACATTTAAACTAAAATTGTAAGCTGACTACTTTACATATTACCATATCATCTATTGCAAACTACTTGGTCTGTTCACCTACCTACTTACTACAGCAGCCGTAAAGAGAGCTGCAACTCTGCCCTACCTGGCTGATCCAAGCTCACGTGATTATTCCTAGAGAAATGAAAAAACAGTAGCTGTCTCTGTATTCTTCAAAGCTTGGGCTTTCTCTCTAAAGGATTCCAGTGATGAGTACACACAGACACTTATATATTTGGTAAACAACTAGATTACACCTCTCAGTTATTACTCCTTGCACATTTCTAGGGTCTCTACATAATGAACTGCATGGCTCCAGGGGATGCTATTCATATAAACTTCAAGGTGATATATCTCCCTTGCTTACCATTAATATCAGATGCTAGTAACTGATTTACCCAGATAAAAGGCAATACTTCTAAACGTAAGCACTGTAAGTAAATATTCTGAAAAAAGGGAGTCCTGAATCAAATGGAATCTTGACTCTAACATTTAGTGATCTCAAGTTAGCAAATGTTACCACTCTAACATTTAGTGATCTCATTGTCACTTAACCCATTTATGCCTAGTGTTCCATTACGGGAATGCTAAGCTTGTGGGAGTTACTTATATCCTACAGCTCAAGGTCATGACCAAGGTCTTTCACAAAAAAAATTTGCAACCTTCAGCATACATGGGTTAATACGGTTGTTGTGAGACTAATGAAAACTAAGTCCTGTAAATAGTCAAGCCTTACTGCACAAATACTGTTTATTTCCAATAATCCTTCTCCCCAACACTGTTAGCTGACCTCCATGCCTTTCCTGAGCTTACCTTTTCATAATATGAACATGTCATTTTAATCATTTACTCATAATTTCCCTTGGCAGCCTGTGAATATCTTAAGAGCAGGGACTATGGCACTGTACTTCCTACTCTAGCTCTCAGTAGAGAGCCAACAAAAACTGTATTATTTCACCATTATGTTATCATGTAAATAGAAACAACCTACTCTACTGTACAGTCCTGTTACACATAGGCTTTATTATTCTCACTATAATACACTACATTTTAGTAATTCATATGCTAAAATTCAAACCTAAAACATCCAAGTGATTAATTCCAAGGATACAGGTGAAAGACTCAAAGAAACTACGGCTGCTCAAACTCTTCTTGCTTTACAGAGTTACCACCTTCACCCCAGACCCCACTACATCATGAGTACTCTAGATATCTCTTAGAAAACTAAGGGTTTACTAATGGGAGACTTCCTCAATTATTTATTCTGTTATCTGGAACACACTAACAAGCTCAAGAGTTAAACATATCTGAGAGCTGAAGGAATCTGTATCATATCCACTGAGAAAAAGGATTTATCTCTGTGTTTTTAAATCAAATAGGCCAGGCACGGTGGCTCACACCTGTAATCCCAACACTTTGGGAGGCCGAGGTGGGCAGATCACAAGGTCAGGAGTTCGGGACCAGCTTGGCCAACATGGTGAAACCTTGTCTCTACTAAAAATACAAAAATTAGCCAGACATGGTGGCAGGTGCCTGTAATCTCAGCTACTCGGGAGGTTGAGGCTGGAGAATCACTTGAAACTGGGAGGCAGAGGTTGCAGTGAGCCAAGATCATGCCACTGCACTCCAGCCTGGGCAACAGGGTGAGACTGTCTCAAAACATAAATAAATAAATAAAAGAAGAAGAATCAGTGTAAAAAATTAATAATGATAAAGAGTGGTTACAGTCCTCCTAACCTTTTACTTCTGATCTCTCAAATAATAGGATGCTTCTAAATAACTAATAACGTAAATATTGTAGGAAAAAAATGTGTATAGTACACTCTGGCATTCACTAGCCTAATAAGTAAGTATTCTTCCACCTATCTTTTTGTTTTTTTATGTATTTGTTTTCCCACATGGTCATGGAAAGAACATACATATCAGCGTCAGGGAGGTATAAAACCAAATCTCAGCTCTATTGCTTACTTGTTTCACAACCTGAGGACAAAGTGTTCAATAAATAATAAATGTAGTTAGAGTAAATTTTGTAAAAGCTACAAGATGATCATACTCCTGTACCTTCTTCCTATTAAACTATACAAGTCTACAATTAGCATACGGGAAGAAACCAGAGTGTCTGTGAAGAGCCTGAAGCCTTACAGGCACGTTTACAATGGAATGAAGTTTTAGAAAGCAGAGCAGAAAGGGTTACACAAAAGTAGAGAGCAGCAACAGGAGGATCTAGGAGGTAAAGCAAAGCCGCATGACGATCAGACTGAAGGAGATAACAGGTTCACAGAGAAGTATCCACTCTCACCGCAACCTTGGGGTTTTAAAGGAAAAAAAAAAATTAAATGTCTTCCATGTTCTCGACTTAGGACCAAAATTTCCTTTGAGGCTAAAACTGGCTAGGGTCTCAAAGGGCAGAGTTTGCCCTATCCAGCTAGTCTCCCCATATGCTGAGCAGCAGCAGGAAAGGGAGGGGTGGCAGATCCCAGACTGTGCTGTGATGAACTCTGAACTGGGGAAGGGACAGAGCTGCAGTGAAAATGGTGGTCAGTAGGATCAGCGTCAGTAACTATAGCTAAGCCACTGCACCCTCAGCAAAAGATACCAAGACCTGTACAATCTCTTTGGTAATGGCAATAATGTCCACGGTTTTCAGTTTTGTGAGCCCAAAAATCTGATTTTTTCCAGTTTACTCAGGCATTCAAGAGAAATAATTTATAGCACCCACATCAGAAGAAACTGACATATAATCCTAAAAATGTGTAGATTTATAATAAGAGAAACAACTAGCTTGCGAATCAAGTTGCATAGCTCCTCTGATTGACAGATCAATTTAAAAGTCAAAAGCTCTATCCGAGGACTGTTTCAGGAATATGGAATCAAAGCCACATCCACAAAATGTATTCTCAACAACAATGGAAGCTACACAATTCCTCACAAATTATTCTTCCAGACTCTCAGGGTATTTGTTCAAAACACTTTTGCTAAGGCATGACAACTTCTAGCCTGAACGCCTCTCTTCCTACTACGTACCCGTTTTTTCAATTTCTGAAGTCCGTCCCTTTCCTGTCCCATTACTTTTCTGACTGCATATTTCAAACTACCAAAATATTTACACTTATTCATTCTCTGGTTTTAAAGTTTAGAAGCAGCTTCTACTTTTTTTTTAATAGAACCACTATAAAAATCTAATCAATGAATAATATTAATGAGTAAAGAGTAATGAATTATAATAGCATTTATTGGCAACTAATGACCAAACAAAAAAAAAAATGACTAACCAGTCAAAAAGTTGAGCATATGCCAATAAGGGCCACAAAAAAAGATGCAATTTACCTTTGCAGGACAAAAAAGGTCTCTAGATTTTCAGTAAACAAAAGAGTACACTAACCAATTTTGCGGTGAATAGCCCTTACGCTAGATGTATAACATACTAGGATACTCACAAGATGAAATATTAAGAGTGCTTCAGAAGTTGATAAATGTTTCCACTAGTTGAATAAAAGTAATTTCAAAAAACAGAAAGCCAGGGGTGAAAATGCCTTCATTATTCAAAGTTTTCACCATTTAGAAAAACATTGCCAAAATGTAAAATTTCCCAAATATAGAGAGAACATCAGGCTCTCTTCTCAAATGAAAGCAGCTGAATACTTTTCATGCATTGATAACCATGAAAAATACAAAGTATCTTTTGGATCAATGATATGAATAATGCTTTATTTTTAATATAGATATAAAACACAGACTTCATGTATTATGCATCAGGAAGTACAGTCATCCCTCGGTACACACAGGCTTCCAGGTATACCAAACTCTACACGTACTCAAGTTCCCCAGAAGACCCTGCCAGGCCCACCTATACAAAAAGTCACCTACCCTATCCACAGATGTGACATTCTGCAAAGACTGTATTTTTGATCATTGGTTGAACAAAATCTACGTACAGGGGGGTCCACGCAGTCCAAACCCATGTCATTAGCCTACACTCCCGGCCTCAGTCAGTTCTTTAACAGCCAGGTGGAAGTTCTGCTGCCTGACATCCCCAGCTAACTACATTAAACAGTTTTGAGAGTTCATCACTTCACCTCTAGAAAGAAGAAATGAGTCAGTTTATCTATAATTTCAGAGCAGAGAGAAAGACTGCCCTTTTCATTTAGCCACCAAGGCTGTAAGCTGAGGAGCACCTCTGCCACTGAGGACAGATCTAGATCCAAAAAGTGAGAAAGAGTGGCAAACAAGTGGAGACCGTATTAACTTGAAGGTGAATGAAAACTAGGGAGAAAGGATCTTCCTAAAGTTGTGTATAAGACAAAAAAAAATAAGAATAGCTAAAACAAATAAATTTAAATCTATGAATCGAGTAAGAAAATATAGAGCCACTTTCTCTTTTCCTCTGTTATTCTGAAAAAAAAAGCCTTATTAATAATCCTCTTAATTATGACATTGATCCATTCAGGTCGTTCAGGAAATAGGCTCTAATCTGAAAATCTCAAAACCACCCATCAAAGGTGGATATGCCTAGAGGAAAACAGAGTGAGGGGGTGAAAGAAGGAAAATTAATCCTTAAAATGGTAAAATGCAAACTAATCAGAGAATAGAAGGTGTATAATGCAAGCTATTTTCAGTTGAGTAATTTCTTTAAACTTTACTCTATCGCAATACATGGCTTTATATGAGCAGAACTTACTTTCCTCTTGTGAACTTAAATTATAATAGACGTCACTAAATAGTGTCACTCTACCTGTCACTACATAACAAGATCATCTAATCCTTAAAACCTATCATTCCAGGACACTAACAAATGAAAGAGTTCCATCCTTCTCTGTATCTTAGCTACCCGAATTTGAGTGAAGAGAAGCTAACTCCCTTCAAATAGGCCCCAAATTACTAGTGTGGCAAGATTTGGGAAGAATTGTAACCCTTTTAGGATCTGACCCTCCAAATCCTTGATCATATTAACTTTTGCTGAAATGTTAACAACTGCATTCTGTACTTTTGGAATGACAAAGAGGGAAAAAAATGAAGAGTTTAACAAACGAATTACTCTCTGTATACAAAGTGTACTGCATTACAATTTAAAATGAATCCACAGTATTAATCCGTTTTTCATTTCTCCCACTGTACTGATATCATAATTTAAAGGATAGAATAGCTTTGGAATTATGAGAGTAAATAGCTGTGTGCTATAGTAAAATATCAATAAAATAAAATTATCATTGTCAACATTCACCCTTAAGAGGGTATTATTCTAATAATAATCATACCCAAGAAACACACCTGCTCATTTTGACTCCATTCCCCTTGCTGCTTCAGAGATGGAATCGCCCAGATGCTCAGTTTCCCTGAGAAGTGAATGGCTGCCAGGAGCATCCCATCCGGAGAAAGGCTCATCTTAAAAATTCCATCCTAAACAAGAATCATAAGGTCAGGGCAAAGGACGTATTGTTAAACAGAAATAACTCAGAATTAAATGACACTCTGTAGAGGTGCCAAGTTATAAATGATCTTCAATAACTAAGAGTGCCACCAGCTTCATATCATTATAAATGTACTTCAGCATAGAGAAAAAGGACTCCTGAATTCAAGGAGTTTGTTATCTACTTCAGAGGTATAATTTACATATAACCCAAAACCCAAATATGTAAGCATTATAAATATTTCTTCACACATCAATTACCATGAGTTCTCAATACCTTTTAAGGTTGATCTTGATTAGATTTCAATTCACTGAAATTTGGGCCTAGATCCTTATAAGATTCTATATCTACACAGTACCTGAAGTATGCTATATATCATAAATAGGCCAAAAATTCATGCTGTGGAAAAGAAGGAAAGAAGAGAGATAGAGAAAAAGTGCAAAAATGACAGAAACAGAAGAAGACAAAGAGGGAGAAAATGGTCCTTAATTTAAGAACTGAGATGAATGTTTAAGATTTTCTAGATTTGCTGCCAAATTATCCAGTTTAAGAAATCTGTCACTACAGAACAAAGAAATTCTGAATTGACTGATTTCACATAGTCAACCAAAAGGTGCACAAAGGAAGAGTCATCCTTCTAGTCCTTCTTGTCCAAATAACTTCTGTGTCCTTTCCTTTCTCAGATGCCACAAAGCATATCAGCAGAAATCATATGAGCAGAGACATCACCTTCCACTACCTACAATACACTCAGAAGACCCGAACAAACATTAACTGGAAAGCTATTTCCCATTCAGGCATTTATTGAGAACAAGGTACAAGGTAGCCTGCCCATGAAGAATAAAACAGAGACCAGAAAACAGCAACCCACAACCATCTCTCTTCTGGACATTTAGAAAATTTGGCAACACACGGCCCACATCCCCAAATGACAACAGAACTTGGTGGCAGATGACCCCTCAGAAGGGTCATAAAGTTTCCAATTAGCCAATGCCTGCACCATTCTCTATTACTGCTCCAGTATCAGGGTCAAGTACTAGCTGCAGGACTGAAAATGAAACATGACTATACTGAAAATCAAAATTATTACACTGATCCAATTCACTAAATTATATTATCAGCCTGGCCTCTGCAGACATTTAAGCCCTCAAGTCTCAAATGACTAAGGTGTCTTAGCCATGAAAAACAGAACAATTTCAGGAGGTCAGGAAGATTGCTGAATGAGTACATAGAATGCAAAGATTAGCATCCTCTAATCGCTTTACTAAAGACTAAATACTTTAACTAGATGTAATAGGTTAATCCCAGAATCCCACAGTTAAAGGTAGGACTGAAATACAAATGCTTGAAAAAAGAAAAGCAAGAAAAGCAAAAGTACTTCAAAGCAAAATTTTAAATCTATCACCTCCCTTCCTCTGAGTTGGCATCAGGGAAAGCAGTAGAGGACAAAGGGCCTGACTTCCTCCCTCCTCAACTTTAAAGTCAATAAACTCCATGGTTTTGTATAAGGCAGGCCTCAGAAGCATAGATTTTTACCAGTCAAAAGAATTCTGCCCATCTTTCAGATTTCACAAAGAAAGAGATGAAAGTCCTTAAGGGTACAGACACTTGCCCATGATCATTCAAGTGTGCAGAGCAAAATCTGAACTAAACGCAGATATTTTCAATCCCAATCATGGCCCTTCCATGAGCCATGACTATAGTCCTCACCTGGACCCTGGCCTAGTTTCTAGTAGTCAGAAGCAAGTTCCGCAGGAGAAATTATGGTCAAGTATAATTTATTGTTCTGATCACTTGAATCATTAGTCATGTGTGATCCATATGGTAATTCTCAGGTATTATAAATGTTTCGTTATACAATTCCACTAAAAGTGCTCTGAAAGCAAGAAAAAAGTTTGTGAATCTCTTTAACAACAGCAAAAGTATACTGAATAATTTGACAATAGCAATATGACCAGGAAAGCAATGAATAAATACATAGTTTTATAATTTTTAAAAAATTCTTCTCTCCCAGTGGAGTTCAAGACATGCTAACTGAAAATATGTCATGTTAGCATTTGAGCAAACATCAGAAGCAGGAAGGTCACTCTCACCTTCCTCCCACCCTTCCTCCATGAGGCAGGTCATAAAATCTAGATAGGATTTTCTGACCTCCTGCTAAAAGCAAGTCATGATCCTCATTCCAGAGGTGCCCTGACAAAACCCGGAAGAAAAGAACATCCTTATCTCTAAAGACAGAGTCACAGGAAGAATGTGAACACACAGGCTTTGTCAAGTTCCTCCAAGTTTGCTGCTATTAAATTATACTTATCCAATCATGCTTCCACAACTAGCCAGTTTTCTTCTTCAAAACTAGCATTAAAAATACACAGGTCTACCCATTTCTTCGAGTCTCCATTTCCTTAGGAAAGCTCCCATGTCACATAATATTTACAGTAAATACATCAGTATGTTTCTCTTGCTAATCTGTGTTTTGTTGTAGGAGCCTCATCTATGAATCTAAGAAAGGAATGAGAAAAGATACTGTTCCTCCTCTACATTCCCTCCTTTCCTTTCTCAGATCTGGACCAAGTAGACCTAACAGACCTCTACAGAACTCTCCACCCCAAACCCACAGAATACACATTCTTCTCAGCACCACATCGCACTTACTCTAAAACTGACCACATAATTGGAAGGAAATCACTCCTCAGCAAATGCAAAAGATCGGAAATCATAACAAACAGTCTCTCAGACCACAGTGCAATCAAATTAGAACTCAGGATTAAGAAACTCACTCAAAATTGTACAACTTCATGGAAACTGAACAACCTGCTCCTGAATGACTACTGGATAAATAATGAAATGAAGGCAGAAATAAAGATGTTCTTCAAAACCAATGAGAATAAAGACACAACATACCAGAATCTCTGGGACACATTTAAAGCAGTGTCTAGAGGTAAATTTATAGCAATAAACGCCCACATGAGAAGCAAGGAAAGATCTAAAACCGACACCCTATCATCACAATTTTAAAAACCAGAGGAGTAAAATCAAACAAACTCAAAAGCTAGCAGAAGACAAGAAATAACTAAGAACAGAACAGAACTGAAGGAGATAGAGACACAGAAAACCCTTCAAAAAAGAATCAATAAATTCAGGAGCTGGTTTTTTGAAAAGATCAACAAAATAGATAGACCACTAGCCAGTCCAATAAGAAAGAAAAGAGAGAAGAATCAAATAGATGCAATAAAAATGATAAAGGGGATATCACCACCAATTCCACAGAAATACAAACTACTATCAGAGATTACTACAAGCAACTCTGCACATAAACCAGTAAATCTAGAAGAAATGGATAAATTCCTGGACACTTATACCCTCCCAAGACTAAACCAGGGAGAAGTTGAATCTCTGAATAAACCAATAACAAGGTCTGAAGTTGAGGAAGCAATTAATAGCCTACCAACCAAAAAGAGTCCAGATCCGGATGAGTTCACAGCCAAATTCTATCAGACGTACAAAGAGGAGCTGGTACCATTCCTTCTGAAACTATTCCAAACAATACAAAAAGAGGGAATCCTCCCTAACTCATTTAATGAGACCAACATCGTCCTGATACCAAAACCTGCCAGAGACACAACTAAAAAAGAAAATTTCAGGCCAATATCCATGATGAACATCAATGCAAAAATCTTCAATAAAATACTGGCAAACCGAATCCAACAGCACATCAAAAACCTTACCCATCACGACCAAGTTGGCTTCATCCCGGGGATGCAAGGCAGGTTCAACATATGCAAATCTATAAACATAATCCATCACATAAACAGAACCAAAGTAAAAAACCATATGATTATCTCAAGATGCAGAGAGAGGCCTTCAACAAAAACTCTCCATAAACTAGGTATCGATGGAATGTATCTCAAAATAATAAAAGCTATTTACAACAAATCAACAGCCAATATCATACTGAATGGGCAAAAACTAGAAGCATTCCCTTTGAAAACTGACACTAGCCAAGGGTACCCTCTCTCACCATTCCTGTTCAACATAGTATTGGAAGCTCTAGCCAGAGCAATCAGGCAAGAAAAAGAAATAAAGCGTATTCAATTAGCAAAAGAGGAAGTCAAATTGTTTCTCTTTGCAGACAACATGATTGTATATTTAGAAGACCCCATCATCTCAGCCCCAAATCTCCTTAAGATGTTAAGTAACTTCAGCAAAAGTCTCAGGATACAAAATCACAAGCATTCCTATACGCCAATTAACAGACACACAGAGAGCCAAATCATGAGTGAACTCCCATTCACAATTGCTACAAAGAGAATAAAATACCTAGGAATACAACTAACAAAGGAGGTGAAGGACCTCCTCAAGGAGAACTAAAACGGATATAAGAGAGAACAAAAACAGATGGAAAAACATTCCATGCTCATGGTTAGGAAGAATCAATATCATGAAAATGGCCATACTGCCCAAGGTAATTTATAGATTCAACGTTATCCCCATCAAGCTACCATTGACCTTCTTCACAGAACTTGAAAAAACAACCTTAAGCTTCATATGGAACCAAAAAAGAGCCCGCATAGCCAAGACAATCCTAAGCAAAAGGAACAAAGCTGAAGGCATCACGTTACCTGACTTCAAACTATACTACAAGGGTACAGTAATCAAAACAGCATGGTACTGGTACCAAAAGAGAGATATAGACCAATGGAACAGAACAGAAGCCTCAGAAGTAATGCCACACACCTACAACCAACTGATCTTTGACAAATCTAACAAAAACAAGCAATCAGAAAAGGATTCCCTTTTTAATAAATGGTGCTGGGAAAACTGGCTAGCCATGAGCAGAAAGCTAAAGCCAGACCGCTTCCTTATACCTTATACAAAAATTAACTCCAGATGGATTAAAGATTTAAACATAAGACACAACACCATTAAAAACCCTAGAAGAAAACATAGGCAATACCCTTCAGGACATAGGCATAGGCAAGGACTTCATGA